GAAGGAAGGAAGGAAGGAAGGAAGGAAGGAAGATTTGCATAGTTTTTACTTTAGGAAAGAGAGAGAGGGAGGAAGGGAGGAGAGAACAACAAGGAAGGAAGGAAGGAGGAAAGGAAAGGAAAGGAAAGGAAGGAGAAAGAAAGATTTGCATAGTTTTTACTTTAGGAAAGAGGGAGGAAGGGAGGAGAAAGATGGGGAAGGAAGGGAGGGAGGGAGGGGACTGCCTCTTTGGGGAACTGCCTCCCAGTCCCCCCCCCCTTTCAGCCTTGAATGACTCTAAAAGAAAAGTGAAAGCAAGGCTGGAGGGTAAAGGCACTAGGAGAGGAAACTTTAGGGGAGGGGCTGCCCGTGGGCACCATCTCGCCTATCCTGGCATTAGAAAAGTAAGAAAGGGCCCAAAGGTTTATCTAAGCCAGCCTTTGGCCACCATGAGAACCCTGTGGTTGCTCTGTTACATCACCTAAGCAAAGAAAGTGAGGGTGATAGAGAAGGGAGAGAGAGGAGTGCTGGGGAAGGCTTCCTAACCTAGCCTTTTGATCCCAATCCCCATAACGACAGTACAGGGAGTCCTCGACGTACAACCAAAATTGAGCAAGACCCTTAGGTGAGTTTTGACCCATTTTGCGACCTCCCTTGCCACAGTTGTTAAGTGAATCGCCGCAGTTGTGAAGTGAACCTGGCTTCCTCACTGACTTTGCTTGTCAGACGCTCGCAAAAGGGGGATCACATGATCCCCGGGATGCTGCAACCATCGCGGCGGTTGCCCAGCACCCCACTTTGGATCACGTGACCATGGGGTCATACATGTGAAAAACGGCCGTAGGTCTTTTTTTTTTTTCCAGCGGCACAACAGTAAATAAATGGTTGTAAGCTCACGTCTTCCCATTTGATATGGCTTAATAGGAAACCAAAGTCCAATTTAGTTATCCTTCTCAGCACCCGGTGGTGCCCTTTTCCAAAATGTCCGACTTAAAACAAGCGGGGCAGCCATCTCCTTCGTGGACCCTAAATCGCGGCTCATTGCAATCACAACGGCTGGGTTTATGCAATGTGCAGCTCACCGAAGAAAGACGTAATGTGTTGGCCCGGTTCGCGCAGTGTGGAAAGGCGAAATATGGATTGTGTTTCAATTTGGCTAAGTCAGGGTGTGTTGCATAGCAGTTACGCAAACACAGCCTCTTTGGGAGCAAATTCCACAGTTTTGTCTGTCTGCTGATGGAAAGAGGATTTCCTTCGGTCTCCAAATCCCGCAGAACTCTCTTCCTGTCTGAAAGGTTGAGCTGTCTTCCCCTATGGCAGGGGGCCTTCAAACGTGGCCCTTTTAGGACTGGTGGACTTCAACTCCCAGAATTCCTCAGCCAGCTTGCCCTGCCCTACGGTGTGGGTTTTGTACATCATTATTAAATGGAAGACTTGTTGCTGCCCATTAGCCAAATTCTAATATTATGGGGTTGGGGGGTGGGGTGGGGTGTAAACAGAAGTTCTGCCATCTTCTCTCCCCTTCAAAATGGCCCCCATTTCATTCGAAGCCCGTAGTCGCAGCCACGAGGACTAGAAACATGACCTGAAAATCCTTGTGACCCATTGCTTACATACGCGTGTTTATTTCAGCCTGCTAGTTTGTGCAGTGTTTTTATGTTTGCTTGCTTGGCACAGGACTTGGCTGTCCGCTCAGAAATTCTGGCCGAGTGCCAGTTCCGGTCATTCTGGTCGGAGAGCCTTGGCCGGCTTTTCCAGCTGTTTCCTAGAATAGATCCGCAAAGAAGCAAGAGACCCTCAAAAGCCTATTTTTTTCCAGATCCAGTTGGGCTAGAGCGAAAACCCTAGCAAAAGACTGCCCAGCTTTTCCAGGCTAATAATCCCTCGCAGCAAAACCAGCCACCAAGTTAATATTTTGCCTATAAATTGGATTCTTCCAACGCCCCAACGCTTTTTTGGCGTGTCGTGCAAGGCAGAAAAACCGAGTTAACAAAACAGTTACGTCCACATCACCGGACGGTGCCGAAAGAAAGCAATCATGTTAGAGTTTCAAAGGAAGGCCTCATTCATCCACAGTTGTTTTCACAAGGCTGGGCTCGTACAACACAACACACCGCCAATGAAGCAACCCGGTTTTTTTTTTTTTTTACTTTGTCTAGACTCTAGCCTGTTGTGATAACCTCACCTCGATGTAAAGAAAACCTGCTGCTAATACTGAAGTTGGGGGGAGCATGCAGATGAAAATGCAATTCTAGCTGTAAAGTAAAAAGTGGGGGCTGGATTATCACAAAGCCCCCCCCCCTATCCACAGAGAGAGCCTGTTTGGTATAATGATTAAGGCACCAGGCTAAAAAGAGGGAGACAGTGAGTTCAAGTCCTGCCTTAGCCTTAGCTGGATGCCTTTGGACCAATCACCAGGAGATTGGGAGTTCCAGTTCCATCTTAGTATGAAAGCCAGCTGGGTGACTTTGGGCCAATCACCAGGAGACTGGGAGTTCTAGTCCTGCTTTAGGCATGAAAACAAGCTGGGTGCCTTTGGGCCAATCACCAGGAGATTGGGAGTTCTAGTCCCGCCTTAGCATGAAAGCCAGCTGGGTGACTTTGGGCCAATCACCAGGAGATTGGGAGTTCTAGTCCCGCCTTAGCATGAAAG